CACAACAACCGAACAAGACACTTGTTGTTATCGATTATCTAAAATAGAAATGGTAATGAGGACTCTTTAATTGAATATTTTCGAATATTGATAAAGTATGAATATTTTATATTTAGATTTAACACGAGTTTGAATAACAAGTATACACTTGAAAATTTGAAATTCAAAAATTTGATGCTTCTATCTAATTTTCAAAAATAAAAGAAAACAGTCCATAAGATTTAGACAAAATAAAAAAATAAAGTAACGGCAGAAAAAACAGGAATCAAATGGTAACATACGGATAACTTAAAAATATCTTTAAGCAAAAAGTAGAAGCAAGCAATTCGAAATTGAAAATACTTCTACGAACACGGCACTAATTTCACTAATCCTATAACATCCAAAGGTACTTTAATTGCTTCGACAAAACCCCAAAGATCTTGTTCCTAAGCTGCACCTTACTGTTAGGATTATGCCAGTGGTGAGTTCTTGGCGACGGCATCAGCATAAGAAGTAGGCCTCTTACTAGTAGATTCATCCTCCCCCTCCACGACAGCGTCGCTTTCGCGATCTGAAGCGTTGTTGCGAACGGCGATATCGTCGGGATCGTGATCCGGGTCGGACTTGTCCATGGCGGCACGAGCCTTGTCCAGGATAGGCTTAAATGCCATCTCTATGGCCAGCCACCCAAACGCTAGCGCCCCGAAAACCACCGCCGCTTGCTTCATAGCCGTTGATTTTCCCATTTTCCTTTCTCTTCCGATTTGGCTGCTGTTCTGATTTGATTAATTTGTCTTTGCTGTTGCCAGTCCTATATAACTTTTAGTTTGTGCCATTATCAAATTGTCAACGAAGGAAAGGGCTAAGGAACCATGTGGGACCCACTAAACAAAAGTTGTCCTGATGAACGGTCAAGATTCAAAATTAGGGGATTATTGGAAAAATTGATTCAAAACGCGCCAGTTAGAAGACAAAAGACAAAGTGACATGAAGAGGCCTTCCCTGGGTTTCACTCGGGAAAAAAAATATTTTTATTTTAAGAAATTAATACCATTAAAACCAATTTTATTGATACGAGAAATCAAATAAATTTGTTAATCTTTCAATCAAGAAAGAGAACAACTAATTCCCACTAATAACAAGCAGCATACATCTATCAAAAATATTCACAAAGCTTAGGAAAACCAAAATATCCCAATCAAACTCTCTCAGTCCAGGATTGTCAAGGTCAGCTCCTGCACTCAAAGCACAATTTTGGACACAAGAAATTCTCCTCAGGTTCAACGGACATTTTCATCCACCAGCCTTAACTTCATCCTTTTAACTCTGAAATCACGCAGGTATTCTTCATTACAATTTATCACATGCCGTGGAGGTGGAGAAAGGAAGGTGACCATGGAGGTTCTAATCTCGTATGGCTTGAGGTTGGGATAGATACATTACAATTATGGAAAGAGGGGAACTGTGTGGTTGGAAAGATGATTGAAAGAGGAGATGGAGATTATGGAGGTAGTGACGAGTATTGGATGGTATAAGGTTTGCATTAGTGGGTTTTCACTCGGAAGGGGTTGGATTGTTTATGTTTAGCCAAAGACATTGTCTTTCGGTTTGAAAAAAGGCATTACAATTTCCCTACTTTTGCCTTGATTTTCAGTTGACTAACAAGATCTTTCCCTTTGACCATATTAATATAAACACCAGAATGTAAGAAAGATTAGCTTCTGGAAGCCAATTTCCTGATTAACAGATACAGCCTTGATTTTTTTTTCCTGTTCACTTGGATCTGATGGCTAGAACAAAACCTGAGAGACCAGGATTATGATAATATTATAAGAGTACTAACACTAGCAATCATCTAAGTAGCAGGCTCAACTTCAAGACTAGGGTTATGATAATCCATGGCAGCGTTCCTATTCTTACTTTTTCTCTTTTTCAAAAGCAACAAGTGGACAAAGGAATAGACTATATGCTCAGCTATCAGCTATAGATCAAGTTATCCGATGGTTGGAATCTCAGAATTCACGATTAAGCCATCCAAACCAAGGCTAATAATCACACAGAAAAAAAAAATACCAATACAACTCCTTTAATATCCATTAGCATCAACGGCCAATTCTCCCTACAACAAAGGTGTCTACGCATCCAGCTGTCCCAAAAATTCGAAAGGAGGGCAACATATTTAACGGCCTCGACCACGTCCACGTCCACGCCCACGACCCCGACCGCGTCCCAAAGGCCTCCCTGAATTTGGAAAAGCATTTGAAAGATAAATACCAAGAATACTTCAAGAAAACAAGCTTATATAAGTAGGACATTCAAATAGGAAAATGGCGTACCAGCTGTTGGCTTCTTGGGTTTCACCCTAGGTGTCTCTTCAACCAGCAATGTCTCAAGATTTAAGCTATCAGGTAGGATATAGTAGCGAATATTGTTACCCCTCACACTAAGGTGATCCAAACTCACTGGATTTTTTCCCTTCAATGTAAGTTTCACTGTTTTCAGATGGGTGTTCATACTGATATCCACACCTAAACAAACCAGCATATCAATCAGTCAGAAAAGTTGCATGCCAACATATGTATCTTCACTCAGGAAATCACCAAAAGTCTATTTAGTCATCCTTAAACTCTAATATACATGGGTCAAACATGTAAAGAAGCTTCGAAACATGTAGACAAACTTTTGATGATAAAAATAAGATATACGAAAGAATGAGAGACATAGCAGCACATAAGGGACCAAGCACTCCAGCAAAGTAGACAACTAAATCTATTACAGCCACATGTGTTATAAAAGGGGACCTAGACCAAATGTTGAAGCTAAAATAGGCAAACATGTCTATGTGTGTGTCTATCCAGGTATATGCTCTTTGAAATTCATGCTTCCTCATTGTAAGATAACATCACTATTTCTCCACCTATAGAAACCATCAAGTGCTTAAAGTGCCTTAAGTGGTGACCAGTTTAGAAAAAAAAAAAAACCTTTCAATCTTTCGCAGAAGGAGATCTGAGTTCAGAGTTTGTTTCATTATTAACAGAAAGAACAGTAACTATACTGTTCTCATAACGTAAAAGGAAAAAGCAGATTCCTAATATTAGACTATGGGGTGGTAATTGGTAAGAAGCTAATCACTCACCTCCTCCCCCAAACAGAACAAATTGCCAAATCCACTTGTTCATTGAACTAGGAAAGCAAGCATAAATCAATCAATGCAACCTAATACAAATAGACAGGGTGTAAATGTGCAAGAAGAATTTGGTTTCATATAACCCTTCCATTATTCAGCAAACCACAGAGTTGAAAACAAGAACTAAATGAGAATAACCATTTTCTTTATCGAAGGCACACAAAGTCATCCAATAATAACAAGGTGCATAGAAATTGCACGCATACTAATTGGTTTACATCATAAAAACAGGTTCACAAATAACCTTAGCTGATCAGGCATGAGGAACTAATTCAAAATGAGATATTATATATGCAATTGTTCAATAAGGTGAATAATTGAACGATTGTGTAAGCTGCCTTTCAGAAATGTTTCACAGTCAAACAGCACACTAAGTCCAAAACCAGTTTATCTTAAAAGGTAACAACAAGTAATATCGTGCACTGCATCATCAATTTTAAAATCAAGAATTTAACCCAAAGGTTACCGACTGAATACACATTTGGGATGGGAATTATGAATATAGTTGGCATACCTCATTTTAGGGGCAAACGAGAAAAAAAGAAACTGAAAAAACAATAAACCCTAATAACTATATCACAATTGCAAGAAATCTTTAGGAATTGGTCCTTAAGCTCTTATAACTTGGCTGAACGGAGGGTTAGGGTTTAGCAAAACCCTAAATGTTGGGGAAAAAGAAGCAGAGATGGGAAAGAGAGGAACCTGTGATGGTGCCGTGAACAACGGTTCCGTTCTTGAGCTCAATCGACACCGTCTCGTTGTTCAACTTCATCAAAAACCTGCTCATTATGTTTCAAATCAAAACCACTAAATGAAAATCCAAAACATTTTTCCCACACCACCTGTCAAACAATAAGGGGAGCAAATGGATTTTCTTATCAAATAGTTAAGAGGGAAGAGAGAAACAAAAACTGACCTGACGAGCTTCATGTTGAGAAGGGGGAAGCGAGGTAGGGCTCGAAGCAAGCAAAGGCGAGAGAGCCAGTCGGAAGGAAGCGGGAGGAAAGGGTCCCGTTTGCTGCCAGTGCCAGGTTTGCTGGGGAGGGGTTTAGGGATCGGGCCGCTGCTTAAAAGGCATTTTTAAGTTTATGAGTTTACGAAAACGACGACGTAGCTGTACTGGTTGTACCGTTGTAGTAGACTTGGGCTAATCCTAGCACTTCTCCTCCAACTAATTTTTAGTCCAAGAGGCTAATGTACTGATAATGTAATAAATTTACTTTCTTTTCATTAATTTGAGAATGGAATAATCAAAATATATTGCATAATTATAGCGAAACGAAGATTCCACTTTACCCACAAAGCTAACGTGGTGAAGCTTATTTGATGTTCATCGTGAAAGTACTTTTTGTTTATCTACCAACTAAATTTCAACTCAATCATTTCTCTTCTAAATTTATCAATTCTTCTATAATTTTATTATAATGTACTAATGTAAAATATTATAAATTTTTTATAATACGTCTAATTAAATTATATTACAGTATTTATTTTAAAATAAACTAACGTAATAAGATATTACAATACCATCATATTATCGTCAATAACAATAAAGTGATTGCATTGAAAAATTAATATAATATTATATTCCAATTTATTTTGTAATGTTAGTTTTGATATTTTTATTTTTTTAATAAAGAAAATTTTAAAATTTAATTTTATCATTTTTAAAAAATTTAAAAAATTAGAAATATTTTTAAATTTTTGAAAAAAATTTATAAATTTTAAAAACATAAAAATAATTTTTTAATTTTTAAAAATTCTAAAAAATAAAAAAACCAAAAATAATTTTATTTTTTAAAAAAACCTAGAATCATAAAAAGTAGAAATAATTTTTATTTTTAAGAAACTATAAAAGATTATAAAATCTATAAAATAAAAAATATATTTAGAATTTTTTTAAAAAATAGAAGATATTCTTTTTTTTATTATAATTTTTTAAAACTAAAAATTATTTCTTTTTACTTTCAATTTTTTTAAAAAAAATATTTTGATTTCTTTGATTTTTTCTAAAAAGAATTATTTCCTTTTTAAATGTTTTAGGAATATTTCAAAATAATGTGAACAATATATTTTTAAAATTTCAAATTACTGACAAATACAAAGTTATTTTCTAATTAATATTCAAGTAGATTTGCTTGATACTTGATTATTTATTGAAAAATTTATTTAAGAGATGACATTATATAAATATTTACAATAAAAAAACATATAAGCTTATTAAACTTACATTTTAATGCATAGAAGTAATTTTGAAAATTAATATCATGTTTCCAGTAAAATGTTTATAAAGCAAACAGTATAATGTTATATTGTCGGCATTTTAATCACACTTTCCTTAATACATTAAACATTACAATATTTATTTTACTTTCCAATCACATTCTTTGTAATGTGATTGCATTGTAAGGCACCAAATACAATTAATCCAGTTCTCTTGTTTCCATTGGTGCAATCTGTTTTTGTATTTTAATCCATTTCTTTGGTTTCTATGAATGGACTGCAAATTTTTAAGTGAAACTGATAATCGTTTCTATGTATTTGGAAAGAGTGCCAGCAAGCAGTGGAAGTGTAGAATGAATGGTGAAGTTGGAATTGATCTCCACATTTTCTTAATGAAAGAAAAGGCGATTATCTGTCATCTTCTTCAAAGAGAAAGAAGTAGAGCATTTCATGGATGGACCATTCAATAAGTCATGACATGCTTTATTATGGGATTGTAATTTACTAATTTGATAAGGCTGCAATTGAAAGTTCTCACTCAAAACGTTTACAATGAAATTCAGACGCTAACCCTAATTAACAATTTCAAACGGTTGACGTACGTCCTCCTGGCACCCCCTGGCTTTGATCCCCTGCCACCTCTGCAACACGGGGACTTAATTTTTACTCTCTGGCTGCAAGAGCCGCTGCTCCTTGCACCTGAAAAATTAATTACAACCTTCTCATAATTTAAGTAGTTAAAACAATACGGAATTCTGGAAAGTTGCTCTATCTGGAGCTTGATTTGGCAATATCCTTATATTCCTATCCTACATGGCTAGACCTAGATAGGTTTAAGTTGAACCATAGGCAGGCAGGACATCTTGAGGGTGATTCTTGTTCATAAAATCTAACGGGTCAGTTAATTAAGTTGCTTACTCCACTCCAAAAGTGTCAACTAGCAATGATGTTTATCTCGTAAATTTAAAGATTCAATTAAATAGCAAATACCAAATTTGTTACCTTGAATGTTGCATCCCATGCCTCTTCCTCAGCTGCGGGAATGGCAGTGATTTTGTTCTTCGGATTCTCAGAGCTTATTAACCCGCCTACTGCAGTTGAGAAGAAGCACCCTGTAGACCATTGGAAGCATCCATATCAAACAATAATGTCATTACTGTTAAACAAATAACTTTTTCTAAACTATCAAAAATTGCAACCCAAGTGTAATTATTAAAGAAACTTAGAAATCATTTTCTGAGGGTTTTGTGGACAATTGGCTATTCTCTAATAAGGCATTTCAAAAGAGAGCGGAACTATTGTGGCATCTGGGTAGATAATCTATTGTACTGTTAAAACACCAAAAAGGGAGAAAATGATTATACCCTTAGGAAAAGAAGCAAGTGACTTGCCACATGCACCTTTGAGCATCTCTGCATCATCAGAAAATGCCACAAATCCGTCAGCAGTAATACCCCAGTAAAGGGGAACCCTGCCAGACCGATCCTGCCGAATTGTTAACCATGTTAAACAGACGGATGAGTCAGTAATTGCGGCAACATGCGAGAAAACCTGCTAGTTTTCACCAGGCATTTATATACCAATTACCAAAATAACTTACAGAAGCCGCGAACAAAGTGGATGTGGTCTTGTCATATACTACAAACGCAAAATTGCCAGCGAGGTGGCCAATCACATGGCTCGGAGGATAAGGGGCTCGGTCACGCAGCGCTTTGTAAGCTTCAATCACCGACATCACCTCATCCGTAGACTTTGGCTAGACCATATTCTTTCCTTCGGCTACCTAAGTTATCGAGCATCCTTTGAAACAAGCAGAATATATCATCTTTGACACCAAGTAACCTGCAACCATTATAATCGCTTCAAGTTGATCAAAAACATTTTTATTAATTTATCCTGAATGATAAATAAATAATTAAGTTAATTAGACTTATTAAAGATTTGATTAAATTATTTAATTAATTAATAATTACAAAATAACTATATAATTATGATTTAAAATTAATATAAGGTATAAATACCTTGTTATAGTTTCTAAACAAAATGAATGAGTGGTTAAAAATTAAAAGAATGACACACTTGAAATTCTTTTAACCTTGCTGCCTCTTTTGTGAAGAAAAAAATAGTTTTCATTTGCTCGATTTTTTATATTTGTTCAATCTCAAATTTTTATGTGGATTTTAAGTTTTTGAAATTCATCTTTTGTTAGCACATTATCAAGTCATATTATTTTCAATTCTTAGAGAAAGATTTTTTAATTCATTGGTCTGGATTACTGTTAGAGGCTGTACAAGAATTCCTTACACAGTTTTGGTTTGCAATAACCAGATTAAAGTGGTTGAACTATTTTTATGGTTTAACAAAAGATTTATCAACTTTTGTTATTTAGATAAAGTGATATGGTCATATATTTTATTTATTAATATAATTTTGTATTTAATTTGACATAAAAGCGATCTTAAGAGGGTAAGGTACAATTTAATTTGTTAATTTTATTTTTGTGACAGATTATTTGTATATGATGTATGATTTGTTCACTAAAACACTTTCTATTGCAATATTTAAAAAATTAATACAAAA